GTTTCGCTGACAGCTCCTCAAGTGACTCGTTTGTTTTAATTCTCTTGTGTGTCCTCAGAAACCTTGATGGATACCCGGACGGCGACAGCTGAGCTGGGCTGGACTGCGAACCCGCCTTCGGGGGTAAGTGGTGACCCCAAAACTGCCGCCGGCCTTTGCGTTTGTAAGGCCTTGCAGGTTTTTCTCTTGAAACGTCGCTTTTCCAAAGCCACAGCTGCCGTCGGCTCGGGCCGGGGCTGCCGCGCGGCCGGGGGTTGGCTCCCCGGGGGAGCTGGGGGGATCCCTGCGGACGCGCTTCGCAGGGGGGAGTCCCTGCTGGGAAGCCCATGCACCCACGTGGCTCCAAGCTCGGAGCCAATTTCTCGCCTCGTCACAGCCCGCGGCAGGGATAGGTAGGGTGTTGGCTGGCTTTTTTCCAGGATTATGAGGGTTTCCACTCTCTGGGACTCTGGACTCTGCTGGAGCCGCTTTTGCTCTCTACCGTGTTTTTGCTTGCTTGCTTTTAGGTGGCTCTGCTCTTCCCCAAAACCACTGACTCTTCACGCGCCTGCCAGGAAAGGGGCTGGCTTTCCTAAACCGGAGTTTTGTTCCCGAGTGCCGAGTGTCGCGTGGGAGGGTGCGTTGACTCCCAAGCCGCAGGAGAACCGGGGTGGAGGCCAGTGAGACCGGGTGTCGGGGAGTAGGGGGAGTGTGGGGCAAGAGAAGGGGAGGCGAGGATGCTGGTGGCCTCCTTCGCTTGGGCAAAGACAGGGATTCCCGGAAGCCGCCAGCTGGCGCAGGAGACATCAGCCTGCAGAAGAAGGTGCAGACCCAAGCAGCCTTCCTTATGGGATAACAGTGTAAACGCTGTTCCAGAAGTCCTCAACCCTGGAAAATCCTTAATATATTACTTATTCAGAGGAGAGATACCTCTCATGGGAGCAAATTGCAGAGAACACTTTATTCCTGGGTGGGGAGGAAGGCAGAGAGAGAAAGAGAGAGAGAGAGAGAGAGAGATGATACTGTTTCCTTCTTTGCTTCTCAGGTCTTTTTGAATGCCTCTGTCCTTCAAGGGATGTAGTCTGACCAGTCTCAGTGCAGCAGCAGAGAGAAAAGGGTCTTAAGGGGGGCAGGAGAGAAGAGCGAGAGGGAGGTTGTCCCTTCTGTTTTTCCCTTCCCTTGCAAGAAACCTTTGACGACTCAATGAACGAGATCAAAAAGGAGAAAAAGATGGAAGGCTAGCTGCTCCCTGACAGCTGCCCACCTCCCCAGCTGTCTGATTCCAGGCTAGCAGCAAGAGAGGAAGAAATGCCGAGGAAGCCTTTTTCCTGAGGCACATCATACGTGGAGGCAGCACCACTTGGCTGTCCTGGCACCTACCTGAAAGGAGAAATGGGCGCTGGCCCGCTTCCCTGAAGTCCTATCCCGGAGGAGGAGATGTCCTTGCATAGCGTTGCCTGTAGACACAGAGAACATCCTTGATGCTTTGTGGGGCTATTCTGACCCTCCAGAGAAGAGAGAGGTTTCTTCAGAGACTGAATGCAGTCAGGTTTTTTTTTTTTTGATACTGTGTAGGTCTTTTGAGCAGAGGCATTAGAAAGCGACCGCTTCCTGAGAGCAAGAGAAGTTCGTCAGTCCAGGCCCAGCTGGGAAGTAGCTCCTGTTGCTCAGGCATTGCTTTGGGGTTAGCTCAGTGTCGTTTCCAAGCTGGAAGGCAGGGTATCTTTGGAAATGTAGCCTTTTGACACCTCTGAGGTTAAAGCTGGAGGCACCAAAAGCAGTTTGGAAACTCTTGGCCAACGTGCCTCAGCCCAAGTGTTACAAAAGCCAGATGTGGTGCTAGCTGCTCCTTGCGTCCTGCTTCTTGGGTCACGACAGTACTTTTGCCCTAGGTCAGGCCTCCCTGTGGTTAAGAGAAGGCAGCTTGCCCCCGGTCCTGCTCTCTTTGAGCCCGTGCACTGTCTTGGCAGCCCAGCAGATCCTTTCAGGGTGAGCGTTTGCCTCTCGCTGGCTTGTCCAGGTGGGACGTATCCCTCTGTTGCCGGCATGTAGCTGTGCGCTCCATCTCCTGGGCTCTTGGGCACTGCTGGTCTCTGCTATCTCGAGCTGTACGGTGGGGAGGGTGCTTCTGACCCAGCACGCGGGGCTGTGTTTCTTCAAACTCATCTCTTCTGTGAACTGGCCCCAGTGTCTGGAGAAGACAGAGCTTTCATCCATCCAGATGGGTCCCTGAGTGCCCTCTTCCCCTTGTGTTTTGCCTTCCAGGTAAACCGTTCAGCTAAGTCACCGTTCCCCATCCTCCACTCGTGCGTGCTCTCTTTTTCTGTACCAAAAGGCTTGTAATTAGGAAACATTAGCAGGCTCAAAACAGCTTTCATACCTGGAACATCATCCATAATTGCACTCAGCAGTGCTCTTCCCTGGCTATTAATGTCACTTTTATGAAGTAATGAGGAACAAAACACCCCGAGGCACTTAAAACATCTTTTTTATATAATACAAGTCTTTGAGGAATGGAAGCATAAAATAACCTGACTCACATTCCCCTGACAGAGAAAGTGATAGACAAAGACAGGAGCAGACAGGGGGAAGAAGATCAGTTAGAAGGGCGGGTGTGAGCTTAATAGATAGGCATTGCAGACTGATAGATAGCAGGTTGGGTAGAGATGGATACAGCAGCGGGGGTGATACTCGGTTGGGCCAGTGGTTGGTTTGCGAGATGGATGGCTCCGTTCAGTCAGTGGAAATAAAGAGGCGGATAAACACCTCGGAGAAAAAACGAATATATTTTCTTTAGTTATGCGTGTTATCCCCATATGAGAAGCACCATATGAGAGGCACCAAATGAGAAAGCCTATGAGCCAGAGTCTTCATTAGGGCTCAGCTGGCTTGGCCAGACTTTTTTTAAAGAAAGTGGCTTCCATAGAGTCACCAAACCCACGTGGCGTAGCTATTAAAAAAAAAAAAAACAGTATCATGGCTATGCAGTGGACACTACATCCTGTCCAGGTATGTAAGAGGCCCTGGAAACACTGTTTTACAGGTTTTGAAAAATTTGGACCCAGGTAAACTGTACTGGCAAAATTGGGGGAGAATAGGCCTTTTTTTTTTTTTTTTAACAGCTTTCTGATCATTCAGTCTGATCATTCAGTCTGAAATTCAGACAAACCTGAACCATGGAAGAACTTTGCCCATGGATATACAATTAAATAAACATATGTATATGTGAACACGTATAAATAAACGCGTGTGTATATACGTAACTAAAATAAAATGCATAACGTTTTCTCCGTGCCTGCGCTGAGACTGTAACTTCTGTTTTGACTAAAGAGAAATTTATCTTCTTTGGGTACTGTTAGGTCTAGCTCTGTTGGGGCTGCCCGGTAGTTAACCAAGCTCACTGTTTAGAAAGTGGATGTTGCTTTTTGTTTTAACTGTTTTTCATCTGATGCTAGCTCGGGTATGCAACCTTTGGATAGGGCACTGCTTTTTATGCTGGTTTAAAGGACTCCTTACCTATACTTTACTCTCTTCTGCAGTAAATTGAACGGGATGAACTTCTTTAGTCCCTCACCTAGAAGAGTTTTCCAGTCCGTAAGAAAATTCTTGTAGCCCTTTTCTGAATATTTTTTGAACTTTCTGTATCCTTTTGAAGTGTGGGCAGCACAGATGCTACCATGGACCTAATAATAGCATTGGGCTGGCCTGGACTGGATCAGTGGCGTCAGGTTGGGGGCCTAGGTTGCACGCCAGCTGAAAACGAGCAACGTCCTTTTCTCCTTCCAAACATGCCGTCGTCTTTGTAAGCGATCCAGCTACAGCACTGAGTTTCAGGTTTTTGTTCAATGTAATAATTGTCAGTAAATATTTGAGGGCAGATTTGTGTCACTTCCTGGCTTGTCCAGCAGTAACGGCCAATATTCAGATCAGGGCTGTCCAGAGCAGCGGGTGCCGCGGAGGGTTCGCAGTGTTGTAATTCACCCAAGCAGCCTCAGCTGCGTCTCGGTCCGATGTAGTCCTGCTGAGAAACGCGTGGCTTTTTGCTTGCGTTTAACCCAATGAAGACGGCGAATTTACTTGGTGTTTTCATGTCTTTAGTCTTCCTTTACCAAAAAACGTTGTCTCCCCTTACCTTGGGAATTTCGTGCTTGGTGGGGTTCGGAGAGGTGTGCTGCAGACTCTTAGGAGCTGGGCAAACGTGTAGGAAACGGATGCTTTCAAACCGATGTTTGCCAGAGGCAGAAGAAAGTCCCTGTGGGAGATGCAGCGTTTTGACTGTGGCAAGTGGTGTAGGACAGGAAGGATTCGTGGGCTTTCTGCGATGCCGGCTCTCTGACCCGTCAGCGCGTCTCGAGTAGGGGCCGGGGGCATCGCTCTAGGTTATTCGCTGCGCAGGGAGAGTTTGAGCCGACCTCAGGGAGCCGATGTGGCCCCTTCCTGCCCGCTC